TCTTACCTTACAAACCATCAATGTGATCAACAGCCCAGTCTGCAAGTCACTCATAAACACCACCCTCTATTACTCAATAACATCTGAGCGCATACCACTGCAAACACTATAAGACTGTAATAGACAGTGCATCAATCCGGCTCATTGCATTGGCTCAGTCTCAGGGTTTAAATTAGAAAGTCGCCAAAGTAAAACGTAAGAATGATAGTGTGACCCTCACAGACTTAAAGCGATAGTTCACTCAAAAATGAAAATTTTGCCATCATTTACTCACCACATAGACTGTAAAAAAAAAGATAGACGACGCCCCTTCGCTCTTTTCCATCAGAGAGAACTGAAGCCGCCAGTGTCCCAATATGGCGCTGACATCTTGGAACTTGAGTCTACGCACTTGCAGATGTTTTGGCTTCACTTTTGAGGGCTTGTGCGGCACGCTTGACTCACCAATCCATCATTCCAAAACTGTAAAACTTTTTACTTGACTGGAACATTGAGAAACAGACCCCATTGACTTCCATTATATATATTTTTTTCCAAGTCAATGCGGTCTATCAACTGCTTGATATCATGCGGTCTATCAACTTGTGTGTTTAGCAGAAGTAAAAAAAAAAAAATCATACAGGTTTGGAACAACTTGAGGCTGATTAAATGGACAGAATTTTCATTTTTAGGTGAACTATCCCTTTAAACTACCAAAACGAAGTTTCATGGCCGGTATAAAAATATCAATTTCACAATGGACGTTAGATTAAAACATCATTGCTGCACTAGTTTCAGAGCTAAACCAACAGCGGTACAAACTTGATATATGCTGTGTAATTGTGATGCTTAAACACATACACACCCCACATACACATACACACTCACAAAAGAGAGCAATGGGTCATGGTGCTACTAGATCAAACACATCAATGACAGATTAAAACCTTGTCATGTAGGTCACCTCCTGGCGCCATGACAACAGAGCACACTGTGCTCACATAGTAACCTCTCATTTATCACCGGCCCTCATCGGTGCAACACCCAACCCTGAACACAAATTAATCAGGCTGCTCTCCGTAAAATACCATCCATGTGAATTTGCACATAGATTTTCATTTAAAGCATAATTTAGCTCTGAAAAAGTGGTTACAGATCATAAAACCAATTTTTTTTTCTTAAGTTTCTTTGGATCAGCTGTATTTTGCATGCTCCTACTTGTCTTCTAAATCAATATGACAATTTGGCCTCTCTACTGCCCCCTATCAGTTCATGCAATGCTACCGCAGTTGACTGGTGTGCAAATCCAGTCAAACTCAAGAGTTTGAGATATGTTCATCAGCAGTTTGTGTTTATGTACTAACTTGATAGAGAATTTCAAAAACATAGGCTATCTGGTCATGTGTTTACAACATGGCGGCCATTACGAAGGGAAGTCTACGTCATATTAAACATACTTCTTAAAATTACCTCTCATTTCTGTAGATGTAAAACCTTTTTAGTGGAAAGTGCACCTTTTGTTAGTCTGACAAACTGATACTATAGACCTTATTCAGAGCAGCGCCATGACAGGTATGAAACTGAGGCTGTGAGGGATAGACTTACCGTGTTTCCAATGGCATTTGCTGTAAAAAGATGAATAAAGCGGCTAGATTACTTACAATTTTTGCACAGCTTACATTGTCGGGAGTTTTTTGTCAACTGACATTTCTTTGAAAGATATTTTTCCAGTGTTTCATGAGCAGAACAATCCGAAAACACATTAAATAACAGTACAGCCCATTGAAGAGATGCAAGTCTATCCCTCACAGCCTCGCTTTCATTCTCATTAAAAATCAAAGATGGCGCTGCCGTGAATAAGGCGTATAGAGACATTGATATTTTTGCTGGCACCTATGGTGTGGATACAGCATAGCCATACAACTGTTCAGTGATGTGTCATCTGTATTCTGTAGAATAAATCAATGTTTCTAACATTATGACAAATGTTGGAAGTACTAACTAAATTGCAAAGCCACAGTTGGTCATGTGATCTCAAATGGCGGCCACCATGAAGAAGTGACCCACTTTAATTGGAATAAAACGACTTTAAGACTTTTAACTCCACACTTTGTACAAAGTCTAATTTACTTATGTAAATGTTTTTTTGTGGAAACTGCACATTTGTACTTGTTTCAACTGATATAACAAATTGACTGTTTCACTATAACATCAACAGTGCTTTTGAAATGTATACTGCAGCATTACACATGACTTTCCTTTAAAGTGTCATATGTATGTTTCTAGCAACACTGATATGACAAACGTTTAAAATACTTCTCATTTTTCCTGAATAAAACACTTTTAAGTAGACAAATAATGACTGTCTTTCACTCAATAATGACATTTTGAATGCAAATATGACATTGTTTAAGATGTCTTTGTTATGACATCTTGACAGAAACCATAACATCATAATCTGTCAAAAACTTTTGTCATGACAACTTGACATAAAATTAAGTTAAACTGTCATGTGGTTGGCTTTGACATTGGCTGTCATGAAGCATTACAACTGTGTCATGAATCGTTTTTCGTTTTACCTCAACTACAGTGGAACTAATTGAATTTGTCATTAAAAAGTTATAATGGCTTCATGACAGCCAATGTCAAAACCAACCTGATAGTTTAATGTAATGTTAATCAATAAAGCTAGGTGGTTTCTTAAGTTTGATAATTAATCTGAGCTGTCATGTTTATGACAGGTTGTGTTGTCTTAGTAATGTCAAGTTGTCATGACAAATACACTGACAGTTTATGATGTATCGTTTATGTCAACGTGTCATAACAAAGACATCTCAAACAATGTCATATTTCAAAAGGGCTTAATGGCACTTCACAACAAAAAAGAAAGAGGGAAATCAATAACTGTTACAAAGTGAAATCCTCTTTCAAACTCTCCTTCCAGTGGAGCAGTTATTCGGAGGTGTCCGTAATCTGGTCTGATACTTCATAAATACGCATTATTCCCTCCGTTTATAACTAGCTCAGGTGTGATTCACTAGCTGTTATTGCCATTTACTCTCCATCAAGATGGAGTCGGGCCCTGCAGATGGGTCTTGTAAAGCTACGGTCGTTCTATTCTAAGAAGTCTGTTCAATTAGGCTTCTCTGATTTCCCCAGAGAGCGCTCCTCTCTTTAAAACGCATCATTAACACAGGCTTACCTCTCCCAAAGGATGGCCTCACCCCCCCTCCCGACGTACAGCAGACTCAAGCCTGAGCAACAGCACACAGAAACCATCTTTTCTCATCGACCCAAACTTTTGAGGCCTAGAAAATGAGGGCCTCTTGAAGAGTCATGAGCACCAGACTATAAATGTCCACGAGTATAATGCACATTCTGCTTTCTGTTTTCGGAGTTATGTCCCTGAAATAATTGGCACTTCTACTTTTGAGGGAACAGAAATGTTATGGTCTGTGTATGGCAAGCCGTTTTTACTTTTATTCATTTCCAGGATATGAATTCTTGACATCAACAATTACATTTTTTGATATCAAGAATTCAATTGTTGATATTAATAATTGAATTCTTGATATCAACAATTGAATTCTTAATATCAAAAAATTTAATTGTTGATATCAACAACTGAATTGCTGATATCTGTTATTGTATTTTCACTAGTGAAATGTCACCATAGGCTGCCATTCAAAATCAATTGTTGATATCAAGAATTGATTTTTTTACTAGTAGAAATACCATATTTGATATCAATAATTATATTGTTACTAGTAAAAACGAGAATTCCTGATATCAATAATGAAATTGTCACTAGTTGAAATGTCTATTCTTGATATCAAAAATAAAGGTTTTTACTAGTAATAATTGTATTTCTGATTTGTGAAATTGGTATTTCAACTAGTAAGAAATCAATTCTTGATATCAACAATTGATTTTGAATGGCAGCCTATGGTGACATTTCACTAGTGAAAATACAACTACAGATATCAACAATTATAATTTTTACTAGTTCAAATTCAATTGTTGATAACAAAAATTATCATTTTAACTAGTCAAAATGTAAATGTTTATATCAAGAATTAGCATTGTTACTAGTGGAAATTATTCCTGATATAAAAAATTGCCATCTTTACTAGAATAAATCTAATCCCTGATATCAATAACTATTATTTACAAGTGAAAATGTAATTGTTGATATCAAGAATTCATATCCTGAAAATGATTAAAAGTTAAAACGGCTTGCCATAGTCTATGCACATTTCAGCTGGTTACAGACCGATGCTGCGAAGCAATTATTTACACACACTGGTTTATATTGGTTAAAATGGTAATAATTTAAGTGACGACTTAAGGGTTGTTCTCATCAATCCTGATAACTATAATTCTAAATAAAAACTTTAATAATCCTTCTAATATGAAAAAGTCCACACAACAGTTATAACAAAAATGACACAGAAGAACGATATTGTTGGAAACGGATCAGAGTTCGAGCATTTAAAGCAGCAGCCAGTATAACTGCACACCTATAATAAACAGAGCATTATCGTGAATTATGAATGTTAACATAGGTATTGTTATAGTTTATATATTTAAAGTCATCGTTCTTGATGTGAACAGGTCTTTAGTTCAATTCAAATCGCTGAGTCACAAGCTAATTCGAGACTATTGATTGACTCAACTTCTGAAGAATCATCGGTCTTTGAATCAGACATCATGGTTCATCTTGTGTTTGTTGTTGCAATTAGCTCTCCCATTGTACTGAGGTTTTACAGATGCCGACTAGCCAACTTTATGGCACTTTCCAGTCATTCGTTAATTGACGAGAGGAAAACAAAACAAATGTCAACTAGATATTAGCTACAACACATCTCCAAAGTAATGAAAAACACAAAATGTCATTTTTTTTTAGATAAAACAAACTGAAACCAGGTTAGGCATCTGAGGATTTGTATTCATGGCTCAGACACTTGCTTCAAAGGATCATGGATAGTGACAGGACACAATTCCCACTGCCCCCGACTCACCCCCGACTTCTCATCGAAGATCTTGATCCCTCCAAAGGACACAGTGAGAAAAACTTTCTGTTTGTGTTCTCCTTTAGACCGCGCAGAAGCTGCGATTCCCTGCAGACAAGAAGATGAAAACAGAAACATGAGAAAAGACGAAACGAAGATAAAACAAGAAACAGAGCAGGGAATGGCAGCATTCGCTATACTTGCTGCAATCCTTGGGGAGCATTAGCAGTTATATAAAGAAATTGATTCAGTTTTTCCACGTTTTCAACCATTTCTGGCTTGGAGGTTCTGATATGTGCTGGTTTTGAGAGATTGAAGACATCTGGGTTTTTTACTGATGCCATAACTATGGTCATTCAAAACTAGACATACATCCCAAAATATGTATGCACAAACCACATTTCAAAACATTGCTTATGGTAATGTATCCTCAATAAACCATTGTTTTGAGAAAAACTGCATTATCGGTGTAAAGCGTGAATAGGACTGCACTACCCAATCAAAACCATGGACGAAACTGGTCTGCGCTTCCATCTAATAAAATAATAATAAAATATGTCCTCAGTGGTGCAGTGCCGGCGCTATGGGGGGGCATTAGGGGGCAATACCCCCCCAAATGTATTTTGTGCCCCCCCAAATTGAATTATGATATAATTTACAAAATAATAACAGTTTAATTTAATTCACATTTCAGTGAGAAATTGTACAAATATATGTCTACAAACTGCTCATTAGCTGAAAATACAATAAAGCCAACATAAAAACCAGTGTGACGCTGTGAGGAAACCCCCCTGCCGCCCCCCCAATCACGCACGTTAATACTTGAATGAAATGATTTTCAGTTGGTGCGACCGCGCGAGCTTCCTGCATTCAAAACAAAGCAAACAGATGAAAACTCTCCAAAAATGGAAATTAGAAAATGGTTCAATACCACAGTTTCTCCTTACACATCGATTACCCCATACAGCAAGACAACGACAGCCCGGCTTTGGTATTTGGTGCTTCTACCGTGCAGTGTTGTAGTCGAGACCGAGACAAAGACAGTCGAGTCCGAGTCGTAAGTGTAGCTATTTATCTAACTGGCATGTACTGTAATGTTCACTATGTGTTGTCACGTGATGAAACTAATAGTTTAGTTGGCCTAGTTTTTTGCGCTGCCCATTGTCCTGAAATGTCACTCACTCCCGCCGTGGAGAAACAGGTGTTTAAGCCTATATTTTCTTGTAAATGGAAATTGTAGAATAATATATCTGTGTATGTTGTGGGTGTTTTTTATTTGTTAAAGGTGTTTTATTTGATAAAGGTAACTACATGATGCTTTTTAAGGCTACGAATGTAAATGCTTATGTTAGAACATAACAGAATAAAGATGAGTAACTTAGCTTTTTTTTTTCTCACTTCCGCCATTGAGATAGCATATAAACGGCTATTCTGTCAGTGAGAGACTGTGTACATATTCATTAGCTTTGCTATTATAAAGCTGTGGTCAGAGTCGGTCTTGCAATTTTTTTTGTTGTATAGGCCTATTTAACCCTTGATCAAATTTCTTAAGAGTCGCTCGTCTTGCAACAATGTGTAATGTTTTATGTGTTTATTGTGTGGGTTGCATTACTTCATGTTAATAGCTAACAGAAAAGGCAGTAGCAATAATAAATATAGGATATCTAATATCGGAAAAAAAGTCCCCATACCTAGGCTACCTAGTGCCCACCCATTGAAAATAAATGCCCCCCTGCTAAAAGCGGTCTGAAGCCGGCTCTGCAGTGGTGTACAAATACCTCTGTCAATTATCTGACTTATCCTCGAAGAATTTATTATTGTTACATACATGAGACGAAGTCAACGGAGGCTTCCATGTCATTCCGCCATCTTGAAAAACTATAATAGCAGAGAGGATCAAAAAGTACTAGGCAAACGTGTTTCCACAATGCTGTTTCGTTCAGAGCCAGCGTCACGTGACTTAAGCAGCAGAAGCGGACGAGCAGAGTGGTGAGAGGCGCTTGTCTAAACCAGGCGATTTAAAAAAGCTGAATAACAATTTTATTTTCTATGGCGGATCATACGTATGCCGAGCCACAGAAGGAGAAATTCTTGTCACCAAAGTTCCAAATTAAATGAAAAAGGAAATGTGATCGCAGAGTACAAAAAACAAGAGTAAATGTCGAGATAGCTGATGAAAGAGAAAGATTTCAAAAGAGATGCTTAAGTCAATGTTACAGTCTTAATTACAAGCATTTTTTCTTTGCTTGGTTGTGTATTTTATAATCTAGACAGTATAACATTTATAGTGAAAGGTTAAACAAGCTATTTGATGAATAACGTTAGCTATTGAGTAGAGAAGGCGCTAAAAACGAGGTTTGTTAGTTTACTTTCTGTACCCTACTGTAGAAATTCGATAAGAATATATTTTAATAGAGCATATGATTGTTCTTGCATTGTTTGCGCATAGTAAAAAAATACATGGTGAACGTTTGAAGAAATCAGACCAATCATTAAGGCTATCACAATCATGTTTTATTTTATCTGTCAGATACCTGACTACCATAAAATAAAGCAACTTTATTTTCGGGAGCTTCCTCTTTTTCTCTGACTGAAAATATCTGTAGCCTACTGGGAGTCGAGATAGTGGTAAAGCTCCCGATATGTCCTCTAACTTAGTTACAGGATAACTAATATATTTATATCACATTTAGAAATAAGTCCTGTAACTAAGTAAACAGAAACAGACACGACTGAAGAAGTGTGTCCTCTTTCTTTTGTGAAACCTAACGGTAATTTATTTCTGTGTGACTAATGTGACGAATAAAGAAGGCATAAATACTAATTACAATAGTTCATGTGTTTTTCACAGTCAGTAATTCATAATGGAACATTTGTTTGTTTGCTGTGTCAAGTTGCAGTTTGTTTGAAATTACAAACCTGTTCAACTGAAGGAAAACTCGACAAAGAGCTATTAGAAGACATCCTGTCATAGCTTTTTGGTACATAACGGCTACCGTAGATGAAAAAGTGAGGCGCTGGAGAGCACAATTTGTTCAAATAGCTAGATGGGAGTAAATCTCACACAGAGACCCTTTAAATGCATTTTTATAAGCAACATGTCAAGTCAAATTTGCAAAATATAAATTTGCAATTATCTTAAGCCAAAGCCAAAAATGGCTTTTAAATCAAGCTTGCGTCAGATGTCCAATCCAATCCAAGGTGTTTGGGGTGGGTGTGGGCGTTCTTCCAAGATGCTGGAGCCCTCGAGTCTTCCAGGACCGTAATCTGTCCGAACCAATCAGATGAGCCCGTTTCTTGGTCTTCCCTCCGAGTGCACAGGGAGAAGCATCCGTCAGTCGCATGATGTATCTTAGCACACCATTATACCTCTATCCATATGTGCTGGCGGGATGATGAACGAGCCTTTCTAATGCCAGTAGTAGCATGATGGAAAGAGCACAAGCTCTGACATTTCAAACTCAGAAGTGGGAGTGGTGCATATAAGTGCTGCTGGTTTGAAGAAGAGATGCAGATTTGAAATATAAGAGGTCTGTTTGCAGTCCAGGGAATGTCCAGAGCAGAGCATCATCTGTTGGAAAAGCTGGACAGATGCTGGATGTGATGTTAAGAAAGTTTTTAAAGCTGATGATCAAGGAAGGATGGGGATTATATGAAATAACTCACATCGAACTGTTGTTGAAACTCTCCTTACCAGAGAGACATAAAGAGTGTGAGAGAGGAATAAGAGATTAAAAAAATGACACCATGGGACTCGTTTGTTTGCTAAGGAGTGGAGGACTGTGGGAATATGAGTATAGATTATGTGTCCGGATGAGTGAAAGGTAAACAGCTCTGATCAATAACAGTCTGGACATTCCAATCAGACCAACATGCAAATCGGATGGCGAAATTACCCTCTCTCTCAAACACACTGAGAAACCAATCTAAACACTGATGAAAAGGGTGCGATTTATGGTGAATGCACAATAAAAATACACTGATTTCCAGAAAGTGTTCATCTATACACAAACAAAGCATGACCTCTGTTACTAAACTTCACCTTCAGGGTCTCAACAGCCGCTCCAGAAACTGACGCCAGACGTAGGGATTCTAATTGTGCCTGGATCAATGAGAGTAAAACTAAATAAATGTGCGTTGTGATGTGATAGCAATGAGGTTTAGAGGGGTCATTAGCCGCGTTTCCACTGCTGGGTCAGGGCCGAGCCGTGCTAGTGCGTGCCAGGGCCAGTCGCGTTTCCACTGTCACTTCCGGGGCTTGATCAGGGCTTACTCGGGGCCAACGGCCAGGACTTCTGGCCCGTCGAATACCTTGGGTGAAAGCGGGGCAGCTCATAATACCCACTGAAATGGGTTGGGTTGTACATCGTTTGATCCAGAAAGGCGTGTTAGGGACGGGGTTTAGGGCAGCGCTGCGGGGCTACTGTTAGCCCTGGCCCAGCCCTAGCCCGGCATTGGAAACATGGTTAGTGTAACATGGGATGGGCCAGTCTCTCGTGACCCCAAACTCATGCTGGAGGATGCTGGTTTGAACCCCATTCAGAGGGGTGCGAGCAGGACCAGTTATACTGTACTTCTTTTGAGAGGAAGGGTGGGTATTTCAAGTTACCAATATACAGAAGCAACACCGGCATAAATACATAAACAAAATGTATAGAAAACAAGTTGCAACCAACACAAACACACCTTGAGTTTCATCATCGAGTCCTGACAGAGTTTGTCTCCTCTTGCGGCGGTGACCTCATCTATGCCGATGAGTTTGGCCTTGTAGCGAACACCATCCCCCTTAAAACGCTTTATCAGAGCTGCTTCACTGCGGTCCTGCCCTGGAGAAAGAAAAAAAAAAGAGAGGGAGATGGATGAAGCACACAGTCATTTGATGAATTCTGCATATCTGTAGCACATCTCCTCCTCCCTCCATCCACTATCATCTCAAAATGCCATTTCTTTTCCGACTATCAGCACAATCTGGATTTTGCAGCTGACAAAAAATACCAAGCGATATTCTAATAGCCTGTATTTAACCCAGCACACATACTCATATTTCTGATACGGTGTTCTGTTCGAGCAGTTAGATCTTTAATCTCACTCAGTCTAGTTGCTGAGTTCCAGCTGGAGTTTGTCTGCATGAGCCTGGAGGGCTGTTCAAAGTCAAGGTTTAAAATGAACCCGGAGCTCTGAAAACCCTCACTAACCCCCAAATGCCCCGCGTTTGCCACCATATTTTCAGCTCAGAATGAAGGTCAAGACTGCTGCATGTGTGTGGCCGTAATTGGAGGTATGTCAGACCCGAGGCATGATGGTGAAAGGTTGGTTTCAAAGTAAAAGTCCTGTGTGCAGGTCTGGTGTGAGGCGATAGGAGGGATGTAAGCCTGATATTTTTTGAGCTCTCACATCAAAATGGACGCCTATCGGCCAATCATGGCATAGAAAGATCAAGTGGTTCCTCCCAAGCCTTCATCACAAAGCCTATAACTGGATAACTGGACTGACCAATCGATGAGCCTCAAAGGATGTAGACCAATTAACTGGCTCACACTCAGTGAAGCAAAGACAAACAGATCCAATTAGGTCTGAGCCTGCAGTTTGATCAGAAGACAAAGCCAAATAGACACATGCCAGGACACACATAAACTTGGCTAGGCTTAATTGATAGCATATATAAGAAGGAAGGGTGAAAGGAGAACATGTTCAAAAATAATCAAAAAGATCTAGGAGACCTTACTCACAGCAACACAATCATTCAGTCAACCCGCTGACCCCATATCCGCCCCTTTTGTATATGTCTTTCTCCCTTTACCAACTTGACATTTCTCTCACTCATTCATTCTGCCTCTCTTGTATTGTTGTGGTATCAGTAGTATCAGTATCTTGACCTTGTTTCTACATACCCCTTCAAGTTCTCCATTGTTGCGGCTCAACAGCTGCATCAAAAATTAAACTATTATGCAAACGGGATGCACTTAGACTGGGAAAACCCAGACAACTTCTGACAAATTTAGATTTGCTCTGAAAGTTAGTCTGGCAAAGAGGTAATTCAAGCCCATTTCCAATCCGTCGAAATCGCGGCACCAATCAGAAACGTTGGGGTGGGGTTTACACGATTATGACAGTGCTGGGATTTTGAAGCAGATATTGTAGCCTACATTACAAAGATGGATGCCGCCGTCGAACATCACTCGTTCAAATCAGCGATTTGAACGTTTCCTTTTTGTTGTTTCTCCACCAGCCGCCGCTCAGCATACGTCATCTCCTTCATCGCTCTGATTGGTTTTAGGTCTAGCCGCGACGTCCGTTGGTGATGCCCCTCTGGAAATGATTTATGACGCTTTGCCAGACCATAACTCAGTTACAACTGAGAATGGTCTGGTTTTAACCAGGATAGGATGCACCAGCTTTCAAAAGCTAAACTGACTGCAGTCTTTAGTGTCCTTGTTAGTGTACCTGCTTCCAATACCAGCCGATACTGATTTGAGTGAGGTTATGGGGGGTTAGATGTAATGGAGGCCATCTAATAAGACCTGTGCAGCTAAACCTCACCTCCGTGGCCTCAAGAGGTGCACTAGAAACTGATGCAAGAGGCAGAAGTATTCAGCATCCTTGTTAGCACACCTGCCTCCAATGCCGGTTGATGCAGAGCCCAATCCCAATTGGAGCAGTGAGAGTAAAATTAAATAAATTGGTGACGTGGTAAGATAGCAATGAGGTTTAGAGGGGCGAGTGTAGCCTGGGCCAGTGCAGGTAAACCTCACTCTCGTGACCCCAAACTCATGCAGACAAATTCTCATTCTGGATGACACTGGTTTAAACCCCATTCCGAGGGGTGTAGGACAAGTTATGCTTCTTCTGAGAGGAAGGGTGGGCATTTCAGGTAGGTGATTATTGCTCAGTTTGTTAAGTGGTCAAGCTGTACATGCAATACAAAGCTACACAAGGCTAAATTTAGAAACATTTGTGATTCTGATTGACAATTCTGACCAAAACCTGAGGTAATTTACTTCAGACACACGTGTAAAGACACTCAGCAATATAAATTTATCAACACAATTTAAGGCAATATTTGATTTTGTTTTATTTGTCAGAAAAAATATTCAGTATTCAAACATACCAGAATAGAAAGCAATAGAGCCTGTTCACATATCACGTCTTTTGCGTGCTCAAGTTCGTTATTGCAAATGTAGGCGCACGGTATGCACGCTCATAATGGAAACGACGCAGTCGCGGTGCGACACGCTCGTTTTTTCCACGCCGTATCGAGAAAACATCTGATGTTGTAAGAAAATGAAAAGTCTTGTAGGGAGTCATTAGGCGATGTGTGGTTGTTAAAAACATCTCAACTTTTCAGAATGCCGCAAGCGCATTATAAGCGCACAGTAGGTCACGTGACAAGAACCAACTGGAGCGCAACCGCCCTGGCGCTTTGGAAAAAAGAGAATGTGGCGCGCCAAGAGTTTTCTACGCATTTTTAGGCGCTATATGTGAATCTGGCCATAAACAATAATTTTGTGGCCAGAAAATGATGGTAAAAATAAAACGATTCTTATATGGATTTACTCAGATTGCCACACTGGTGGACACCTCTGGAGAAACTCCTTCAGAAAGAGCTAAATGTGTTCTCTGAGGAAATTCATAAGGAAAGGTTTAAGCACTGAAGTTTAATTCCAAATTATGCCTCAAGTATGCTACCAAACTGTGTGTATAGAGTACCAAATATGTATGAGATGCTCCATACCCGTCCAATAGATTTCCCTGCCAATCTGTGGTGTATTGCGGGCTGTCCAAGCAACTGAACAATCATTAATCTATAGGAGTGCTGAGAGAAATTGCTCTGGTCTTCTAGTGCAACATATATCAATAACACTGACACAATGTGGCATTATGCTGAAGTAAGAGATGAGCCATAATGAATAGTAGTCTATGTCCTTCACATGCATAAAACATACATTAGGCAGCTGATGAAGAGGAGCATTCATGACAGCTGATAAATTAACAACTCTTCGAAGGTCACCGCATGCATGATGGAAGGAACACGTTCATCCTTTTTTTTTCAACGAAAGACCAATGACTTCAATTAAATGGACAACAAAAGTTGAAACTACCTTGTGTTCCACAAAATAAACAATGTCATATGGGATTGGAACGGCATGAGGGGGAGCAAACGAAGACTGAATTTTTATTTTTAACTGAACAAGTGCTTTAACCCATACTCTGACAGTTCGTGGAGAGCTCTGGAAAGATGATAACTTTCAGCTGTCCCTCAGTGGCAAGGATGGGAAGGATAAACACTCATTTATTTCCCCCCAGTTCGGAACGCTTCACCTGCAATGCCGCTTATTATTACTGCAAACCTCAGGGGCTGAACTTTGGCGGTAAAGAACTGACCGTATGAGTGTGTGGGTGGATATATCTGTGTCAAAAGGCAGCAAACTGTACTGTCCAAGTAGAGATGTCTTGAAATGAGCTCCAGCTCTCTACCCTGCAGGGCTCCAAAGTCCTCATTCAGGCTGAGGACAGCTCGCTGTTGCTTGGAGAGAAGTCTGGATCTCACCCACTCCCAT